TTACTGCTGAGTAAAGGTCTGTTGTACCTTTAGATGGTCATTCAGTCTTCAACCAAATGTTGTTCAATCTTGGATATTGGACCTCTCCAGCTATCGCCAGGCTTTTCGTACGTGTGTCTTTTTCATCCAGTTCTATTGCCCATCTAATATTGTCCGTGCATCTTTTAATTGGATTATTCCGCTTTTAATCTAACCCAACCATCAATTCGCCATTACCTACCTATTTAGTACATTGCAGCCTGCCTTATTAATGAGCTCTTGTGAAAGTGGTCGCATGTGCATAAAATATTCAATTATCAGTCGTTTATAAAAGTACATTAAACTTATGTATGTATAATTGGTTGTATAACACGTCTTAAAAGAATTTCACCTTGAGTTGCGAAAGCTGTGTGCAGAATCGCTTTGTGACCTGACACATACCCGCTGTTATTTAGTTAAAATATTACATTGTTACACGACTATTATCCTTTACTCGAAAGTAATAAGGCTTTTAATCCTAAGCAACGGATCTCATGTCTCGTAAAACCTGGGTTTTCAGTAGGTACTCAAACAAACGACAGTTGGTATCGTTGCTTGGTACGAATACATAAGTAATTAAATGGCGATAATTATTTTAATGTTGAAAAATACCTAAGTGTAATTATATTGTTGAAATGTTCATTAACGTGACAATTTAGATAAAAGGTAAATAATAGAAAAACTGGCACTTGTGAAAGTATATATTAAGAAGGTATAGTATATATGTATAGTATATATTAATAAGGTAAGGATTCAAGCTAAGCCAGAAAGGAGAAAATCTATAAATATGCATATTTAAAGATAGACCAAAAACTTCACGCATCCATTACAACAAAAAAAATCTATTATGAAATATACTAAATGTTAAAAGTACTAAGATAAGTATTAGATGTTCCTATCGCTTAACCAAATTTCGACCGATATGACTTTAATCGCCTAAAGCGCCATCTATGAAATGCAAAATCTGTTTCGATGATGTTAGTTCTTTGTCCTGTCTTTGTTTACCTTTGATGGGAATGTACCAATGTTGAAAAAGGAAGTTGTTAGAGTACTTACATACCTACTTTAATATTTTATTAAATTATATCTTTCAAGTAGATATGTCTAAAGATTAGAAGCTTAAAATAATCAATTAAAACATGAATCAGAGTGGGTGCAACTTTCCCAGATGATAACATTTCTATTAATACTTTATTATTGATCTAATATCCACTTACTTATAGGTATTGTGTATCTACTTACATATACTTATAAATATATGTATACAGGGTGACATTTTATTTTATTCATATAAATGAGGGACATACTCCAGGACCCGATTCTGGTGCTCAATTACAACAACTTTTTCCATGGGACCAGTATCATTATTTAAAAAATAAATTTATTTCCCCATACAAATCGCGACAGCTGATTGGCCATTTTGCACGGAGAAGATAACATTAAGTTTTGAGATTTCTATGTTGGTCCTTTGAAAAAAGTTGTTATATTAGGGGTTGTTATAACAGAATCGGGTCCTTAAATGTGTTCCTCGTTCAAAATGACAACCTGTATAATATCATTATTGCGTTACAGGTACCTAATCTTATACGTTTCGCTTAGTTAAACTACAAACAAAGATCCATTAGGTAAAGACATTGATCCCATTTGGTTCCATTTTATAGACAATCTTAAAAATTGTTAATGTTTTTTTGTAACCGCCTTAAGATAGACTATTATAAAATGCGTATTTACGTTAATGCTCCTATTTAAAATATCAGCGGGGTTTCGAGTGCAAGTGTAATAATGTACCGTGACCCCAGTCCTGAGCAGGAGAAGGAACGCAGTCATTTTTAGTCTGACACTCCATCCACTTAGAGCGAGAGAAGTAATTAGATGTAAAAAACCTCTAGTTACTTCTCCCGCTCCTAAACCAGTAGACATCTTCTATCACCGCGTCACATATAATATGTAGATGGCAATTTGATCTTCACTACATAGTAGAAAACAAAGACGATTTCTCTGTCCCTTTATCCCTATGTAGGTATGCTTAAATCTAATTAAGAGCCCGATCCAATTTCAAATCTCTAAATCAATTTTTTGACTGATTTGTTGCGTTTCGTTACCAAGTTTAATCAAAATTAGTTCAGTAGTTTCCATGATGTTATCCGTTTTACCGTGACTAGAATTAGTTCATTAGTTTCCATGATCTCATCCATTTTGCCTGTGCCTAGATACCTATACACATATATACGAACTCATTGAAAGAACGAAAGACGTAGCACTAGTAGCTACATTTTAAAACAATTTAACCTGATTATTTTGAATAAACATGCTGGCAGGCGAAGTGTGCAAAACCTTATCTTACCATCGGCCTCCTTTCCACACGTGGAAATGTGTTAATCTAACTAATTAGCCAACATACACTTACAAGATAAAATTAAACCTACGCCACATCACTACAGATTCTATTTTCGGTTAACAGGAAGATTTTATGTATATTTGTGGGAAATATCTTCGATCTGAGTTTTGTTTTAAAAAGGTTTAATGACATGCAATTGGGAAATGCTCATGGAACAGGATATTTCTTAATCTTGAATGTAAGATTAATTTTGAATACTAAGTTATGGTAGGATACAGAAAATCCAAACTAATATTATACATATATGCGAAAGTAACTCTGTCTGTCTGTCTGTCTTTTCTTCACGCCTAAACTACTGAACCGACTTCTGTGAAATTTGGTACAGACATAGTTTGGAACCCGAGAAAGGACATGGGGTTTTTTATACCAAAAATCTGCAGGACCTCACTATTTCACGCGAACGGAGTCGCGGGCAGAAGCTAGTGTTAAAAGAAGCCATTTTGTGACAGTATCATACAAAGTTGAATCATTAAATTGATATAACATATAGCGTATCTTTGAATGAATAATAAAATAAGATGTTATCTTTGCTGAATGAATAGCGCAATGAAAGTAAAAAACACATAACGAATTAATATATAAACAAAACAAAATAATTTGAATTAATCAATCTATCTTAAACAAGTAGGTCGGATCTTGAAAACTAAAATGCCCCGTTACCACCAACCTTGCTCCATTTTAAAAAAAGAATGTTTGATTTTTCTTTTTCAGTATTTTTTACGCCCCAATGAGTTTGTTTACGGTCGGAAAACTGGCTGAATGTAAGTAAGTAAATGCTTTCCGAAAATGTTTACGTTTATGAAAATTAAAACGAATGTGCTGTGTTATCAAGTTTTTTAAATCTGGAATCAAATAATATGGAAAAATAAGGATAAGTTATTTTGTTATAGGTAAGTAGGTATTAGGATATATTTTTTGTTGTTGTTATGTGCCATACCCACTCACTATTCCCAATTTGGTTTTCAAATCTTTTAGAAAATGACAGAACGATTTTCTAGTACGACAACAATCAATCAAATCACGACAAAAATACACCAGCATTCGTCATATTTGCCAACACTGTCATGACAAAGCAAAGGGAACCTTTCTAAATGCCAAAGGCGATTTAAAATATAAAATATATTAGTGTCCGTGCGATCGACACGATATAATAATGGCCCACAAATGCTAGTTCGTAAATAGACGACCCAAATACGAGTGCACGACTGGACTGCAGAACGAAGTTATGTACTACGGGATAGGGGACAAATATTTGGAGATCCATATAATTATCTCCAGTGATAAATTAGCAATTCTGATACAAAATTGCCACTATTTAGTGGATGTTATCATCTACACTTCTATACTAATATTATAAATGCAAAAGTAACTCTGTCTCTCTATTTTTTCTTTACGCCGTAACTACTGAACCGATTTCTGTGAAATTTGTTAAGTATCTACCCACAGACATAGTTTTTGGAACTCGAGAAAGGACATAGCATTCATGGCAAAATGGCAAAAGCTAGTACCTACTTACTTACATATAAACCTTCTATTTCAATCACTTTATCTATAAAAAATCGCATCGAAATCCGTTGCGTAGTTTTAAAGATTCAACTATACATAGGAATATAGGGACAGAAAAAGCGGCTTTGTTTTATACTATGTATATTGGAGAGATAGACATACACTCTTTTGTAAAATAAGAGAGAATGAAAGGACATCAAATTATTTTGTGATGTGTGTGAGGAGAATTAAAGAAATTAGTAGCTTTAATAATTATATAAACTTTAACAAGGATAACTGTTTTTTATTGCTTTTGTTTATTATTTAGGTATTATGCAGAAGGCTTACAGACTAGCATAAAATGTAATATGATCAAATCGCGTATAACAAGCCTCCTAACGTATCAAAGGAAGGATACAAAAATTATGATAAGATATAAAAAGAATTACCTACTTTGGTCTTAACAGTGTTTTATAGAATTAGCAAATAATTTATTTTTAAGAAAGATTGCTTCTTGATCGCTGTTCCTTAGAAATCGCGCAATAAAATGAATGCATAGACATCATATTGATTTTAATTATCATTAGGACGTCTCTGTGAGACTTAAATAAGATTTTTACTGATCACTTTCAATAGCGTCTATATTCAAAAGTTCAAGGTCATTACTGTTTAAGAGTTTGAAAAGTAGATAGAATTAGGTAGGTACCTAAGTATATTTTCACCCGCGTGGCCTTAGTGGTGGATAACAAAAGCTGCATAAATCACGTCTTTGTAAGTTGCTCAGAGGCTCAATCCTTCCCCTCCCCAATCCCTAAACCTCTAAAAGTCTAATCCCCAAAAGGTCGACAACGCACTCGTAACTCCATTGTTGCGGGCGTCGCTGATTGCTTGCCATCGGGTAATCCGTCTTTTGCCGACCTATCACATAAAAAATGTTTATTTCGTATTTACAAATTTATTGAATAATATAGGTATCTATTATAAATAAAATACATAACAACAAAGTTACTCAAATTAATAATTCAGCAACAATTTCCAGCTGCATCGGCATGAAACGAATGCTTAATGTGATACTGAAATTCATACTTTATTGTTTCAGATCATCAGAAATGATCCATGTGGACGAAACGGATCCGGTGGGAGGTAATATTAAATGCTTTTGTTTACTTATTATAAAATTAATTTCGTTCAAACAGCCCGAGTGAAGCCTTGAAGAATTCATCATGATGTGTAACGGATTTTAAATGCCGAATAAATGACGTCACTTTTATGTTACGGTTGCTTTTTTCAAAATTCGAATTTAACTACCGTTATTGATTGACATGACAGTTGGGTTGGGCTGTCTATGGTTTTTTTTAATCTAGATTGAATTAAAATGTGTAGTCTAGTCTATTTAAAGTAACTAGATCGTTAGAAAATGTTTAAATAAGTACTTATTATACAGCGCAATATCTCAGAAAGGTAAAACCAACAATTACAAATATTTTATATCAACGGCAGACACAGGTAAGTTTATTGTAAAAGAGAAGACTCAAAAAGAAGGATGATTTGAATCTCAAAATTAAAGTTCAATTTCATATTAGATACCCCTTTTATGAGTTAGTTCGGTTTTCTATTAAACATGCTGTAGGTATCTGAGAACCTTCAGAATCGTGACATACAAAGAAATATATTTCTATGCCTAGATGACAGACATTATAAAAAGCGGTCTCTTTTATCATAGCTACAATTTTTGACCTAACAGTGTAACGTCAAAAATAGCTATCAAAAATCATCTTCAATTTGGGCATTTTATAAGTGTTTCCCGCCCATCCTTTACACTGGAAACATCAACGTCTACTCAGAACTAAAAAACCAGTACGAACCAGTTATTACAAATTCAAAACATTTAAACAAAATGGTGGCAACGAACTTTACAAAAAGTAGTCTATCTAATAAAAATCGCAAAAACTTCATCCATGTCAACATTAATTTATAAATCTTAGTACTTGATACATTCTTTTAATTCCTCAATATCTAGGTTAGATCTACAGTTATTTATTATTACGTGTAGTTAGATAAACGGACGGCAGAATAAAATAAAGTAAACAAACATAAGATTTTGGCAGGCGAGTGGAATCCATCTTTATTTTAGACTCGGCTGAATATTTGAAATCGTTCGTCGGATGACACGTTATATACAGTTCGTCAGTTCGTCACGTGCGTCATAACGACACACACGAACGCCCCAAAAACCTGGCTGTTTTTGTCATAATTATGACGGTGATTACGTCATATTAGTAAGTTGTATTTTTTTGCCCACTTCTATTCCTTTCTGAAGTGATAGTGTTGCCACATCTTCTAACTATTGTACTAATATATAGTTAATATTTTAACCATTACTAAAATGTATTGTAAGTCTACATAAACAAACTATAAGTTTGTTAGTTATACATATATCGAAAGGAAGGTCATAATAGGCAAGCGGTAGGTAGTCGTGATTAACGTCCATTCCAAAAGCTACGGTTAACTACTTTAAGCATAAGCTATGATAACTTTTTTCAAACTACTTTTAGAAGGAATAGTAGCGATTGATTGATTTAAAAACAATAATGATGTAAAAAATTTATTGTATTCTCAGACAAAATTCATTAAAAGAATCGTTCTTGATATAAAAAATATTATCGTCAACATCCAAATTGCAATCCTTATTAAATACACACATTCTTAAAATATCAGCTCAGCTAATCCATTGAACAAAATATTCGGACAGAATCTTGACAATGTCAGTTATTCAGAAATGGCGGGAATCGATCTAGGTAGGTATGCTGGAATTAAGTCCTGTAGCAACATTGTTCCCTAGAGTCTAGACTAAGGCATTCGGTAGGTAACTACAGCCTTATTGTCAATACCCGAGGCCTTAATCATAAGGCATTCTTGTTGTGACTCATGTGTATATCCTGTGGTCCGTTCTTAAAATGGATTTGTTACTTGTTTATGGTATATCGTAGGAATTTTTAAATTTCGTAATACGTATAAAGGAGTTATGAAACCTTTTATTATGTTTAAGAAATTGTCTTTGCTGTATTTTGCAAGAAAAAAAAACATTCTCAATATTAAAATTTAAAACCTAAGCATTGTTATCTAACACCGAATAGTTTAAAATTTAGTAATTTCGATTAATTATTATGCAATTGATATTGACATTCTTACATATACTTATACATATAAAAATTGCTAACTAGATCAACGAATCTGTACTAATTATTACGCAACAGTTAAGTGCAACTAAATACTAAGCTAGGAACTTATTTACAAAAAACTCAGATAATATTTGCTGTTTACACAAAATACTTACATTTTTAAATATAACATTAATCAAAACAAACATATTTACATTTTCGTATGTATGTCTGGTATGTATGTGTACTTTTTTTCAATTATGTATGGCGCCTAAGTAAAAATTCATACATTCCACGAAATTTTAATTTTATTCGCGAAATAAAGGTGAATGACTTTCGACACGATACATTCAGTGTTATGGCATTTTTCAAAACACACACACACACACACTCACACACGTACGTCGAGTTCTTTTTTCATATTCAAATTTCAAACAGTGTATGTGTTGCTAAGCAAAAAAACAAAAATCAACAAACACCGACCATTTTAATATTTGAATTTCGAACACATTTTTCGTGACATTCCTACGTATTCACATTAGGTATTTTAATAGCTATTGTACCTTTTGTATAAATGTTCAGCCGGGGTTGCGGGGTAAGCGCAATAAGGTACCGCGACCTCGGCACAGAGCAGGAGAAGGAACAGGGGGGTTTTTAGTCAGTAAGAGTCTGACACTCCCTCCTGCCCGGCGCTGGGCGGGAGAAGTCATTTGATGATTTTCCCCTCACAAAAAAAAAAAAAACCTTTTGTATAAATATAATTCCGAAAACAATAGATTTAATAATAGGTGATATGTAACCTATATAGATATTTTATTTTTCCTTTGCCAATGTAGGCATATTTTCTTGAACAATGAACATGAACAATGAATGCTTAGGTACTTTTTGTAGTCTATTTACAATTCGTACTATTTTATGAAAAGACTTTTTTTCGATTGCCTTTTCAATTTCCACATTAGTTTCATTTTAAACTGTCCCGGCGAGCCCTGTAGCTGCCCCAACCTTAAATATAATTAATACTTATTTTTTTATTTAGCCATAATTTCTTACCTTTTGAACCTTCCCTGCATATCCAGGTATATTTCAAGACCACAATAAACCATGTCAGTGCAGCCTTTCTCGAGTTTAAGTGAGACTAATAAACAACAATTGATTTTTATAAGGGTTGATTTTTCAATGGTTAGATAAAAGTTATATATGGAACAATAATATGGTGCTGTCGCGTCAGAATGTTTTTAAGACAATGACAGCAACAACTTTATTCCTCGGATAACATTTACCTGTCTATTGAAAAATCAGCCCTAAATAAGAAAAATATATTCGTCGGTTTATCAAAATATTTACGATATACCTACACTACATAGCACTTTTTTTGAAATCTTGCTTTAGCTAGATATATACATTACAAACAACATAAAACTAACAGCTACATTCAGCTTCAGTATTATTTTATCTATCACCTCACAATGTGGCTCCTGCCTAATAAGGGATTAGTACATATTTAATACGATAAAAAAATATGCTATGTCAAAAAAAAAATATAATGATAACATGCCATTGACCTAATTAAAAGATTGTTGCCAAAAATAAATGATGCTAAAATTCTACTACATACATACTTCTTCATGAATTGAAGAAAACTTCGCTTGGGATGGAATTCGAGCCAGTTAAAAATATGCTTACAATAAAAGAGGAACACGTGCCGTTTAGCAGCCAAATATCCCCCGGGATGTATTAGGCAGAAGGTCACCAGATCTTCGCCCGTCCGCGCCCGCATCCATTCATAACTATGTTATTTTTAAAATTCATACGACGCAGTAGATTAGGTATGTTTTGCGTTTTCTGTTGATCTTATTGATGTAATCAGTATTAAGTGTGGAAATTTTTTAATGTGGTTTTATAGTGTTTATATGTGGCTCAATATAAATTATCATAATTTGAATCTCATGTAATTTTTTTTTGACATCCTTGCCGTGATTTTCTTTCTTTGCATATTAGGTATTAAAAAAGTCAATGTTTAAAAAAATATAGTAGAAATAACGTGTTTCCGATTACTTGTAGTATCATTGAAAACTTGCATAATTTTCTTATCAAATTAAAGTGATTTGATCGCAATTTAAGTTCCTAAACAAGTTAGAACCTGTTCAAAAAACAACAATTTGATTGTTGATACTTTTGTCTAACTAATACGGTTACCTAGATAAGCTCTCTTTAGTCAGAAAACACAACAACGTATTAAAACCAGGTACCTATGTAACCCAAATAATGAAGAAAGTAATGTATTATTTAGATATATACTTGTAAACATAATTATCAGTTGTGAAGCGGCACCTGGTGAATAAAGGTTTTATGCTTAGTCCTTTATACCTACGTCATACCATTCCACCGCTTGCGTCCAAAAGTTCCAACACGATACACAAACTTATGTATTTGACAAAAAGGTAATCATATTTAATAGATTTTTGGAACTGTCAAAATTCTGTCTGTTTTGTATGAAATTGCATGTGTTGTGTTTTTGCGTAAAATGGCATGCAATTACATAATATGTAATTACCTATATGCCATTTTATTTTAATATTTTATCTTACTTAATAATATAAAGTACAAAATAAATAATTAATGAAAATGTTAGGTATTACTTTTTCATAATTTATTGCATCGATGAAAATTTGAAAATACACTTTTTACTCGGGAAACAAACCATTTGACAGTTGTCAGATAAAAAAAAAGTATTACATAGACAATACAATATACACTGAGATTTAAACTATGAATGAGGTGGTAAGTGTGAAGTGTGACTAACTTAGCGATTATTCAAATAACTATGAAGGAAATCAAAAGATTAGTTACGAACGTTAAATCATTGCTCACAAACTCACATAAAGAAATAAAGCAAAAATTCACACTTGACTACAAAAAACACTCACAAAAAATGTATACGACCATAATAAAAATTAAAAAGAACAATTTATCTAACCGTATAAATCTCCAAACACTAAATTAGGAAGCTTACAATAAACAAAAACAATAGAATTTTATTATGTTACATTACCAAAAACGCATTCTGAAATATGGTAAACTCATAAAACATCAGCAGTCTTTTACGGCGGCTATTAGCTTAAAAAAAACTACGTAAAATCCACCCGATTCGTGTTTCTTATATACTATACAAACAGATCTGAGTTGTGCAAATGATGTAACTAAGATCTGACTATATAAAATCAATGAGTAATCAGCTTCTCTTGGTAAAGGTGGATGAACGCATCAAAAGCGTTCACAGTGCGTTCAACTCGAACACTGTCCAACATAGGAAGGTTAAATTAAATTAGTACTATTGTATGCCTACTATTAATATTACTACAGGGCCGGATTCGGGATCGATAATAATCAGAGTGCAACTGCAAATTCACAGGGAAAACATCATTAATACTTTGAAGATTATGATACAATAAATTGTAACATTTGTAATCATTTCTGTTCAATTTCAGTGAACTGCGTATCAAAAAATCAATACCAGTGATAAGATTATAATATAAAACTACGTAATTTAGGTAGCTGTCTATGTTTAAATTACAACAATTAATGTTTTAACTGTAACTCACAATTAATTGGTAGTAAAACTATAAATTGAAACCGCCTAACCAAACAGCCTCCGTAAAGTTAAATAAGTAACGAAATTAACATAGGAAATTAGGTCGATTAGCATTGAAAATTAACTAAAACGAGCCTGAACATGCCGGATACATAAATATGTAAACAAGGCACAGCTAAACGTTGAACACATGTTGGTTTGTGTGTGGAGACTAAACAATGGATAGACACTCCAAAAATCGCAAGTTGACTTCGTGGCCGACGCGTTTTTTTACTCGTGCCAAAATGAAGCAGTGACGCAAGCGAGTGCAGTCTTCATTTATTATTGTTTTTTTTTTCGTTGTCGCTATAGAAGTATCGAGAAGCGTATTTAATTATGGTGATAAATGAGTGCAAATTCGTTTGTTCTATTTTCGTCCCTAATGTATTGGCTAGATAGAGCAATTTACATCGAGTTTGCGGTGATGTGTTGTCACACTCAATTTGCTATGTAATTTACTGGGTTATTGGACCTGTGATCTCGTTGATGTGATGAAATACATGTTTCCTACTTAGAGCATGGTTTTTTTATGGGATTGGATGGTAAACGGGCCGATGGATTACCTACCCATGGACACCTGCAATAACGGAAGAGTTCCGAGTGCGTTGCCGATCTTTTGGGGATTTAGGAATGGGGAGGGATTCTGGGAGGGGAAGGATTGGGCCTCCGGTAACCTCACTTACACGCCTAAAACACAATGCCGTGGTTGTTTCACGACGGTTTTCTGTGAGGCCGTGGTATCCGGTCGAGCCAACCAATTTGTGCCGAAGCATGGCTCTCCTAAACTTGACTTTCGATTATATTATCTAGTAGGTACATAGCCGAAAGAATGTGATAGTTATAACTTACAACTAAGTATAAAAGCGTAGTGAACAAGGCGGGGAAGGCTAGGATCCCGTTTCTCTGTGTAAAATATTCATTGACGTGACTGACATAGTAACGAGTATAGTTCTAGTCCTTTAGTCATACAAAACACCTGAATACCTGCGACGATACATCTGTTTGTACGTCTAAGTATGTACCTACTAGGAGAGCATTATAGTCTCAACAACCGATATTATATAATGTATAATGTTTCAAAATGCTTAGGTACGCAATTACACATTCAATTTCACCATATAGCGAGGCAGGGTAGAAACGCATTAGTCACCTTATTCTCTTCTCTTCCCGTGCAAGTCGCAAAACGGATATTTGACCAAATTCTTCTACTCTTCTCACTCACGACTCTCTCTCTCGCTTTCTCTCTATCTCCCTGTCCCTTTAAAGCGCTCGATCCACTCTTCTCTCGATCCAATCTCACTCTCTCTTGATTTTTCTATCTATCTCTATTTCTCTCTATCTCTTTCTCTTTGTCTCTCTCCATATCTAAATTTATCTCTCTTCTAATCCAGCAATGAATTATCATGAGGAGTTTATCATGATAATGATCTTACCAAACCTTTGCTAGAATAACAGATCCAGACAGAACAGAACAATAACAGACAAATAATCTAGAAAATAGTTAGGAAGGAACCTTGAAGTAGATATTCTTACGCTGTCGAAACGATAGCTCATATATTTCGTACGGACTATGGTGCATTTTTTATCACGTTATCAACGAGCGGTACGATGTCTAATCACTTTAATTAGATACCGGGTACCATATCAGAAAGTACGTATAATTATAATAACAACGGAAAATTATCACAAATGCTTATATTTCATAATTCACAATATTGGAATTGTGGTTTCGTTTAAATTGTTGATGGTTAATTATACTGTATTATTTTACCGCCATTACGTTTAGCGTGTATCAATTATGTTAATGATAATGGAGCGAATATAGAAGATATAAAATACACAACCGTATATAGGAGTTGTAAAAGTAGTTTTAATTAAAAACAATACACCAATTGTCGTATTTAAGGTACTTCACTTTCCAAATGTCATTCCAAATGCAACCCCTACACAGTACATAGCAGTAGTCGAAATACTTCACAGATATATATCTGCATAGAATGACAATATCTATTCTCATTTCGTTACAAATCCTTAATGATACTAAGTCAGGTAACAACTTGTTTGAAATTTGTAGGAAAATACAATACGCGAGTAATATATTCGCACTTTAAAAATTCAACAAAGAAAAACATAAGTGTTGTAATAAGGAAAGACCTGGGCTTGAGCAACGCACAAAACTGTTATTTATGGATTAGCAGGCAAACAAGCATACGGAGCACCTGATGGTAAGAGATCAGTGCCGCCCATGGACACCTGAAACGCCAAAGAACGCACGCTTCTTGAGGGTTTGAAGGTCGGATGTTCTATAAACCCGCCGCTGAAAGATCAGTTCAAAGTTTTGCTATGCGAAGTAGACAGTTTCAAATTTCGTGTAACTAATGTAAATTTCGGTGTACAAAAAATAAAGAGAACAATAAAAAAGAGTACCAATGGACCATAGAACAATGTAACATCTAAAGGTGACTTCAACATGATGACGTTGACATCAATGTGTGATAAGCCACGTGTGCAATTAAGATAACAAGTTAAAAAGGTCAATAGAGCACGTGAACTTATGTCACTCGTACTTACACTATGAGATTAGTAATCTAGATTCTGATTAATATTAGTAATCGACCGTGACAATCAGGTTCAATAAGATGTAGGGCATTATGTAGGATGATTTCCACGAGAGTTCGTTGAAGTTTTCTAGTTAATTAGAACCAAACATTAAATATTTCTATTTAATTTCAGTTTCGTATCGAAAAAAGTTTAGATCACAGATAAGGATTTAAAAATATCTCATGTTATCTCCCGCTGATTTGAACGTACACCACAATCAAACGTCTCACAATTATCAATGTAATAAAATCAAAATTTACAACAAGTTTAAGTCTGAAATTGACATTGGCCCCAATATCATCCCTAGGGAGCTCCTATTATACGTGTACGCTTTATATACAAAAACTGATTGCAATGTTATGTTAAATTTATAAAATGTTTTGTTTTTTTCGCAGAAATCGAACCACCATTTCCCTGTCGAGATGTCACCATTAAAAGGAGTACAGATGTCAATGAATTTTATGAAATGCTCTCCGAGATCGGCAGGTGAGCCATTACACTTTTACTTACAGTAAATGTTTGCTTAGCTCATGGCAAGTGTTTAAACAGTGATTAACACGATAAGCTATCGCATCGCTATTGTAACAGATATGTCAGTTCAAATGTTAGTCTAGAAAGTACATATAAACATAATAGTTTTCTTAAGTATTATGCTAATTTGTTTACAAATCCGTTTTGGCTTCATCTTGAATCTGATCGCTGAGGGTGAAGATAATCGTGAGTTCGTGACACAATGGCCTTGTTTTAGAAGTGGTTTTGAATAACTTGTAGTTTTTTTCTATGATGGGGTGATGGGGTTCCAAAGTAGCAAATAAAGGATATTAACTAATGGTAAGCAATCGGCGCCGCTCATGGATACGCACAACACCAGAGAATTTGGGGAATTTTTTGGGGATAAGGGTTTCGGAAATTTAAAGATGGGGAGGGAAAAGGCGTATTGGGTAAAATGTATTAAAGAAATGATGTTAACTTTCATAGATTATGTTTATCGTTGTTCCATTTTGTTAGTTGTAGTTCCAATTTTCCGTTTAATTACCTAATTTAAAACGGCTCTCGAATTATTAGACACTGAGAGACACATTTACTGTTACAATTAATTTAGTATCGTGTACAAATCCCAATCTACATATATCAATGGTAATCGTAAATCCACATCGAAAATAGAACAAGTGTCCAATCGCTGTAATTTTCTCAGAAATTATCCACTAATAATTTAAATGCCTTGTTATTTTGGAGCAGGGCACATTTATTATAAGACAATGCCAGTAGCTACCATACGTAATTGCCCTATAATTAGATTCTACAAAAGTTATCTGTAAGAACTACGACTAACGAATTTGAATATAATAGCGTGTTTTAATTCAAAGAGTAGTTAGTGCATAGTTAATGCATCTGTATTATAATATTATATCTGTATTAATTAATATTATAAAGGTGATGAGTTTGTTTGAACGCGCTAATCTGCGAAAATACTGGTTCGATTTGAATAATTCTTAATTTTTAGGGTAGTCAATTTATCGAGGAAGGCTATAAGCTACAAAACCACGCTACAATAAATAGGAGAATCTCTAATGCAATAATAATAAATTTATTGAGATGTGATAACATTTTCTTGACCTTAATATATAACCTATTATAAATCATTAGATTTTTCAACTGTTATAATCTGGGCGTCACATTTAAAATCAGCTTCTCTAGTTGCTCTTATAAGATGTGATACGTCTGTCTCTTTTCTACCTTGATGCTTATAAGAAATTGATGTATGACCTTCGTTACGCTACATATATTTATTTACCTGAAAGAGTTCCTATTATAATGGTTTCCTTTGTGAAAAGGAACTACACATAGATAATTTATTGCTTTAGATCAGTATTCGAATCTGTTTGAAGCACTTAGCGGGTATCATTTTTTTCATAAATCTTCTTCACGGTGCTGTGATTTTTTTATGTTTAATTTCATTTATCATTCTGATTTCGAGATTCTTTTTGACTTATTGTTTCGTTTTTTTTATATTCACTGTCATGTTTTCTTCTTTTCAGGGGCAAATTCGGAACGGTATACCTCTGCCGCGAGAGGAGCACAGGACTGGAACTTGCAGCCAAACTTGTGTCCGTCAGCAGAAGAGATGAGAGACGAAACGTGGAGCGGGAAGTAGACGTGATGAGGAGACTGAGGCACCCGAGGCTTATACAGTTGTACGACGCATACGAATGGGGGAAATACATGTGTGTGGTCCTCGAACTGTAAGTACCAATACAATTGATGCACTCAAATACATGATAAAAGAAGAATGTCCAAGAGACACTTCTGAACTCAAACAAATGATAGCTGGAAAATCTTGATAGCTGAAACTATTTAGCGGATACGAATTCTAATAAAATTTTCATATTCAATTACTCTTAATGACAACACACCCGATTTCAATGTTAACAATGCCAAGAAATCCACCCATCAAAACGTGGGATCTAACATGAGTGTTTATTTAATTTCATTCGACGACCTTTCTTTATAATGAATGCGGAACGCAAATAACTAACTAATCAGACAGTCACACGACACGAATTTGCGGAAAAACTAGAGAAGAAGACAGTGTTTCGTAGCTTTCGTCATCAATTTATTTGTATCATCCAAAGTCCTATAGCTTGCATCAGGAATTTATTTTTGTGATGGATATTTATCATTACAAATGTAGGTGGAGACTCGTTTGCACAAACATTCTCGTTGCATTTCGATTTGCCTGTTCATTCAAACGGTAGCTTCGTGCTCCATCCATGAGTCACTCGTGCAAAAGCTGGACAATATCAGGTTATGTTTTACACCAAACGATGTAGGTTAAGGACGTACGTAATTTTGACATGCCGGAATTCTAGGCCATTTGTTTTCATATATCATTGTAGCAAGTACTTCATTCTGAATTATTTCTTACCGTATGGACGTTGTCTCGTTTTTCGTCATTTCCCGGCTCGTCATATATGTTCGTGCACTCTTTGTTTTAAAATTTTTAAAGGGTTCACTGATGAACCCAAAAATATGCACACATTTTTGGCAAAATTTTATACCTTAATTTTATACCAGATTAATGTGCAAACGTTACGCTAATGCCATCGGCTATTTTATAAATATTAAAAAAATAATAATGTGTCAAACTCCGCGCGTTTTTTCCTGTCATCGCCTATAATTGGGATTTTTAGGTATCTATATATTTAGCGGTACTTCCTTCTATAGGTACAGGACTGAATCTATAATTAGTAATTGTGAATAATCCAGGTGTAATTAGGTCGGTCGTTGACAGCTTGAGTGTTCTGACAGGTGTTACGCCGCCCATTGCACATTAATTATGGAATTTTCACTCTTATACTATGACGTCAATGAGATAGTAGGTAGGTACCTAAATATTGTGTTCCACCTCATTGGCAACCGAGATGATCGTCGTAATTAAATTTTGATGTTATTTTAAGTGAGTTTATGACTAAGTACATAACTCCCTAATTGATCATTTGATGCAAATTGCTGTGGCGTTCCCAAAATGGCTTCTCAGTGAAATCATAAGCGTAAATAACAGGAAAACATATGTCCAACGCTTTCGTTTGAGATAGACATTTTAGTTTATGTGTACATAACCTTTTTGTGTGTATAGACACGTAAATCAGATCAGTGACATGTCAAAAAGGTGAAAGTCAGACAAGTGATGAGTCACAAGAAACTGTGTATGCTGTGTGTTTACTATTGGAAAGTAACACAAATGTACAGTTAAATAAATGCGAGACGGTTTATTATCTTATGTGCCATGTTCTGCGGTCAACTTTAACACTGGATTGCTGCACCAGGATCCGTGTTAGTCATCTTTTTTTTTTAATATGCACCTAAATTTTTAATATTATTGTAAACCCAACGGTAATTTTTACGCTTACGGTTGCTAGATATGAAAAACAATAGAAATGCATTCAGAGACGGTCGTGTAAATATACATACATAGGTAATTTCTAATTTTCTTGTAAAATATGCATTTCAATTATTGATAATAACTATAAAATCTACAAAAAAAAATGTATAGAACAAAGGTCCTTCTCTGTCCCTATATCCCTATGTAGGTATGCTTAAATCTTTAAAAATACCCAATTTTATTTTATTTTTGATATATTGATTCAAGAGGAAAGTTTATGTTTAAATATATCTACCTAACAAAATCCATTAAGTAGTAAGACATTTAGTATCAACATAGCATCCGTGAGAAGCCGGGCAGGTCTCTAGTACCTACTAAATAAATATTTGAAACCAATCTTAGTTCCCAAATAAAAAGGCTTAACAGATAAAAAATACGAGAAAAAACAATCAATTAAAAAGGACATAAATAAAAAAAAAGAATTTATTACTCAACCAGTTTAAATGGCCTCTCTATCTTGAATTTCGAATCCGAACCCTCCAATTAACTTATCTTGAATACCGTCTTTGTCTTCCTCTATGACGCATAACCTGATATAAAAGCGCGCCAAAGTGTAACCCGTAAATGGCGACGGCTACTCCACAGATACAGAATGAGTCGTGGCGTCAAACAGCGTCAGATGTTACGGCGCATAGTTGGCGCACGGCCACGCGACGCCATTCTATCAAACTGTAACAGGGTTGCTTGTTTACGATAAATTATTTGCAATTCCTTTTAATTTCAAACTATTGTGAAAATTTTAATGCCTCAATGTCAAATTTTAGGTTAAGAATCTTAAGATTTTGTTGAATAATATTTTAAAATAAGTTAGTTAATTTCTGTGTCCTAATAAAATCAACTGAAGATTACACTTTTAAAACACTTGCCTCTATTAAATTTACATCTTTCGATATGGATAATTGTTTTTTTTTCTTCTAAGCAACCCTAAAGCAGCCATTCAGCCAACCAGCAAATCGGTCGTCGTCCCCTAGTGTTGACATGTCTATTACATGCCTTACCTAGTCTTCCTGCCTCTTCAGCATCTTTGCCAAACATTAATCTATCTTCACTTGTAACTCGTGATCTTACAAGCTATAGAATATCGCATACCTACTAATTACATAAGAATAATTTTGGCCACACATAGATATTTTTTTATTTATAAAAGTTGGCAACCCTGCGTCAAGTGTACATGCGTTCACAGAAAATGATTAACAATAAGACGAAGCAACACTTAAATAACTTTTTTATTTTATTTTTATAATCTTGTGACTTTTGGTTGACTCCTTATAAAACTATTGAGCCAAGGCCCACTGAAACATCTGCAATTACTAAGTTATTTGTTAGGTACTGAATCATAACAAAACACTCTTGTTTTTTAAGAAGTGTGGGAGAGCCATACTTTGCCTCGAATGGCTTGGCTCGACCGGAGTGATACCACGGCCTCACTCAAAACCGGCGTCAGACAGCGTTGTGTTTCGCCGTGTGAGTGAGTTTTTCCTCCCCCATCAAAACCATAATCCCAAAAGGTCGGCAACGCACTCGTAGCTCCTCTGTTGCTGACTTGCTGTATGGGCGGCGCTGATTGCTTACCATCCGGTAATCCGTCTGCTGGAATAAAGTTACATGGATCAGAGGACTATCCAGAACTTGAAATAGAGAACTATCAAGAACTGAAAATTTCTTATACAAGCAGACTGATCTTCGCATTATAAATTCATGTTAAACAAATATCGAATTACAAGTCACATTAAAAACTCATGAGAAAGTAACTTTGCATAACTTTCTTCCGATATCCTTTTCTCGCGTAGACAACACGAAACTAGAATGTAAACATAGATATCGGTGCTATGACGTTGATTGATCGTCAACTAAAGCCGTTAAGTTTGTTTATAAAATACATTAGTTGCCTCATAATGACGTACAGCAAAAACGAACTTTCATACTCTCTTGTTTGTGTATACAGTAACTCTTAAACTGTTTACAAATCCGACCAACCGACTCCAATACGCTTGACGTCAAAACTCTTCAAGATCCAACTATAACCTCAAAAACCTTAACGCAAAAACTATGTCTATGACGACACACCGAAAAGCGAAAAATACTGGCCAGAATCAGCTGTTGACGTTTCTCCCCATTCAAATATTCTAAATTTAAATAGCCTACATAACATGGATGACGCTAAACGACAGAAGTAAACATAGCGTATTGGTAAACGGAAAAATTCAACTCGACGTCGATGTTCCGTGAATCGCGAACAGTCAAGTCAGGGTCATACTGACAACAAAAAATTTGTAACGAGTCTGGAATGCGTGTTCTCAGCCGTAATGGGTCAAGGAAATATTTTTGCCAGCCAGCCGGGTGGAGATAAATATTTACGTCCTTTACGACGTACCTTTTATCTGTAGTTTGACTTTAATCTTGTTAGATAATCAAAAATACCCAGTAAAATTGCTATAAAGTTTGTCTTAACGACTTTATACATAATATGCACGGAAATTGTTACAAACTTTTGGACATAACTTCCTTTATTCACATTTTTTCAGGCATCAAGTCTAGAAAGAATCTTTGGTCAGTCTTTTTGATTAAGACTTGCCAAGCACTCGTGCATATAGTGAGTGCAGCAACGCTTGTTGTTAGATTAATTTATTTCGACGTGTAACTGTTTTTATAGCTTTCTTTAGTTTGGTAATATTACCACAAGTAATGTATGTCCATGAATCACAAACAAAACTTTATACCGGTGACGCAAAAGTTCAAATGTAGCAACAAGTTTAATAATAGAGAAACTGTACGAAATATGCGAATCATAGCAAAAAGCCAAACGTCGAACTAATAAAAAAACAAGAAAAAATCGCGGGAAAGCCATTTTAAACTGTATCCTTTACATCACAACAAATTAAATCAACAGCTGATAGGTTTTTCAGAGCTTGGTTGCTTCTTTCGTCAAAAGTTTCCACAGCAATCAAAACTTCGCCTAATTGATCATATATATTTTTAAATAACCCAAAATAATTGTGTAATTCATATAACAATTAAATAAATATAAGTATATCAAGCTCATCTTTGCTAGGAATTATTTATGTTCGCACATCACAAAATGGACAGAAAAAATCTGTCAAATTAACGCGAAATTTGTGTCTGTGTAGGTAGAGCCTGTGATCTGTAATTCAATAGGCCACCCTGCAACGCATTCCAATATTTACTATATTATTTACACTTAACACAAAGGTCGATTGAAAGAAACTTCCAGTGGTGCTGGCAATGACTCCACCTGTGTATTCATATGTATTAGATGTAAAAAAAAATAGTAATCAATGA